AAAATGTATAAAATTTATATATATAATTTAGGTACGTCTATTAATTTGATCAATAAGTATGCAAATCTAACATATAAGCTCTCCGACATCTCGGCTGACTGTTATAAAAGATTTAGTAGACTTAGAAAAATTAGAGATAGATGGCAACGCTGAGCTAATTAAAATTTTAGAACCTTATCGAGGTGATTTTACAAAAGTTTAAGATTTTTATTCAATTTATAGAGATCCATTCAAAATTGGGAAAAAATTGAACACCGTCGAAAAAATAGTAATGAAACCGAAAAGTAACGGTGACAACAATTGTGATACAGTAATAACAAAATCAACAATGAACATGACAACGAAATGTTAAAAATTATGATTAAATAAAGACCTGGCCAATTCGTTTACTCAATATCGATCCCTATTTGCTTCTTTATCTATTTCGCAAGCAACATAATAAATAATATTTAAAGATTCTCTATAATGGTTTAATTTTTAACTTTATTGAATATAAAGTTAAAATTTTTCTTAACCGTTAAAATAATTTTTTTTTAAATCGTAAAAAATATCAATATAAACTTTAAATTATTGTAATAACTACCCGGGTTGTTATTAAAGGGTAATATCCTGTCTGTGTTTATAAACTTTCTCGTTATATTTGTACACATAAAAAGAGAACTGTTAATGCCACCCCCCACTTTTGTTAATGCCACCCCCTATATAACCCTAACTAGTCTAAATCTTGAAAATTCTACAAATAGTATTTAGAAACAGTGTGAATTCATGTGATTAATTAAGTTAGCAATTAGGGTAAGCATTGTTCATAGAGTTCCGGAAAGGTTAAAGACCAATTAGAGCTATGTAGGGGGTGGCATTAACAAAAATGGGAGGTGGCATTAACAAGTCTAAAAAAATCGGGTATTTCCCTTAATAATATACTGAGTCAATAATGTTGTGAATTTCCTCCTGACAAAATCATGTGAGAGAGTTGAGCCAGTGTATTGTTGGAGAAATTTGCTGTTGACGGATTAATCAAACTCAACTATAATAATGTTTAATAATCTACAGTTTGATCAGCTTTTGATGAACAAATGACCGTTGAGATAACGATAATACATTTTAATATCTATTTTCATGTCCTTTCTTGGCATTTACCACTAATTAATTAATCATGCTCAGTCTTTCCGCCAACATTTGAAGCCCTAAGTCTATAAATAGCAAAATATCAAGGAATAAAAAAAAGAGTAAAATTTGTTGTCTCGTAATAAACCAAAATGTAACATAAAAAAGGATCAATATATTTTAATTTTTGAAGGTAAAAATCATTTATTTTAATGTTTGAAAGTAAAAAATCATTTATTTTAATGTTTGAAAGTAAAAAATCATTTATTTTAATGTTTATAAGTAAAAAAAAACATTTAAATCGCGCGGTTGTTTCAAAACATTTTACAGTATTTAACCAATTGGATATTTCATCTTGAAATTTTTTTTCAAACAATTAATCAAGTTAAATAACAAAAAAAAAATGCGAATCATAACTATCCTACAAATTTCACTAGCGATCTTTCACATATTGATACCATCTGTCGAATCGGCTTGTGTTAATATGTTTGTATATAAAGAATGTAGGGACCGCGGTGAATACACAAGATTGAAATGCGCACCAATGGATTATAATTGTCAATGCAATGCTCTTAAAGGTAATTACTGAAAACACGTTGTGAGGAGCATTTTACAAAGAATGTGTCGAGTTTTGACAATGTTCGAACTGTTTATAAACAGCAATTCAACTTTGTTTCCTACAATGTGCGGACGATATACATATTACAAATGAAGGAAAAGCTTTCGAGGTATTTATCATCTTAAATTCAATTCTTTTATTTATATAAACTTGTATCTATCAAGTTTAATTATTCACCACAAAATATAGCCTTCTGTCGCTCAAATCTGTGCACTCGATACCGGGAACCCCACATCATCGATTCCTCAAAGCCTAGACAAAAATAGTATTTCGACAACACCAAATTCGTTACCAGAAACACAGAATAATTCGCCTATTCGTAATGCTACTACATCTACTGGTGCATCTACTGTTTCACCTACTGCTTCATCTAATGTAAAAAATAGTAGCAATAGCTTAAAACGATGCTGGAATAACTTAATAATAGTATGTGGTGTAATTTCTTTTGGTTTTTTAGTAGCATAATTTGATAGATTCGATAATAAATTTTGATTTTCTGCACAATGGCGATTATATTACTTGTGATAAATTAACCCCTTTCAAAGTTTTTCGGTGATCTGCCTCTGATCATTTCTTTTTTAAATTGTGTTTGGACATGTGGCCAT